GAACAATCATTGACATATTGTGAACTCCTGTATTATGTTCAAGTGTTATCGTTAACTCTTCTCAATGAATATCATGTGTTTCCAGGTGAGGTCGTGTGTCAGTATGTTGAGAGAAGTTTGTCAATGGTAAGTTAACTAAGACAAGTAACTACTGATGTGAATATGAGATTGATTGTTGACTAGGTGATTGGTATAATGGGAATTGAAATGGCTGGTGGTGTTTATTGTGCATTGTCACCTCGAGATCCGGAACATCGTTTACATGCACTTACAAAACAAACACAAAGTCGTCTTGTTCTTGTTCATCATTTTACAAAAACTAAATTCGGTAGTAGTTTTATTTTGTTTGACATTAGTTTGGCTTTGTCTAGCAGCAATGCGGACAGAGAAAATGATATTAATGGACTGGAAAATGTATCAACTACACCTGATCATATAGCTTATATCATTTTCACAAGTGGTTCTACTGGAGCACCAAAAGCGGTTCGTAATGAAGATAATAATAAATTTGTACCATGCTATTTTCACTTTCGTTTATAGATCCAAATTCGACATCGAAATATCAGTCAGGATATGGAATCTATGAGTTTTATTGATGCAGTTAACAGCAATGACATAGTTGCACAAACTGTACGTTGTTCTTTCGACGTTCATCTTTTGGAAATTATAGGAACACTCATACTTGGTGGAACACTCGTTATGCTTCGCCCTGAGGGAATTTTAGATCTTCAGTATTTTAGTTCAGTAATAAAAGAAAAACAGATTACCTGTATACAAGCTGTTCCAAGTCTATTTCGAACCCTATTCAGCTTTTTTATAGAAACGTGCCAATCAATTCACAATTTATGTTTAAGATCTCTTTGCATAAGTGGTAAGAAATATTGGAGGAAGATTCTGTAATCCCTAAGTTCTTTCTTCTTTCAGGTGAAGCTTTCACTTCTGATCTAAGTAAAGTACTAACAAGCTATATAGCAGAAAAATGTCTCATATGGAATATATACGGTCCAGCAGAAACAATAAATTCCACGTTTCAACGTATTTATCCAGCCGCAAAGACAACAACGATTCCAATTGGTTTACCAATGCCGAATTATCTATGTCTCATCTTAGACCCATATATGCAAGGTGTTCTCATAAATGGAGAAGGCGAACTGTACCTAGGAGGAGTGGGTGTCTTTTCTTCTTACCTTGGACGTGATGATTTGACATCACAAGCTCTTATCGAAATAGATCATGAATTATTTTATCGAACAGGTGATCTTGTTACAATGGAGTCTGAAGGTTTACTCCATTATCAAGGAAGAAAAGATCATCAAATCAAACTTCATGGGCAAAGAATTGAACTTGGTGAAATCGAACGATGTTTACTTAACATTACATCCATATCTGCTTGTGTTGTCATAAAATGGAATGTTGATTATTTAGTTGCTTATGTTCAATCATCTCATGTCAATGAGGCACAACTACATCAACATTGTCAATCTCATATTCCACCACATATGATTCCCTCAATATTCATTATACTTGATAAACTACCGTTGAATCAAAATGGAAAAATAGATCGAAAACTTCTTCCCCCACCTCAATTCTCATCAACACATCTCGCAAATAGTAAAGAACTATTACTACCGACAAACGATATTGAAGTTAGTATTCATCATATTTGGTGTGACATATTCAAACAAACTCACATCTCAACTGATACAAATATATTTACCATTGGTGGTCATTCATTGCTTACGATGCAACTATTCCATCAGTACAAGATCCACTTTCATTTAGAACAAAACCAAAATACTCTCTCCATTTCTAATCTATTTCAACATCCAACAATTATTCATCATGCTCAACTTGTTCAACAATCTATCAATATCATCCTCACCCTCGATGATTATCTTTGGTCACCATTACATCTCACTCAGGGTAAACAAAACAGCTTGAACTAGAGATTATTATAAATTAACATATTTATCTTTTTTGTCTCATTGTAGCTAGAGCATCATTTGCACAAGAACGTATCTTCTTAGATGAACAAATTCGTTTTTCACCCAACCAAATAACCATAAATAATATGTATGTTGTTCCACTACTTTATCGTATATCATCTATGAATGATCATATATCAATGAGTCAATTACATCATGCAGTTCAAAGTGTTATCACAAAACATAATATTCTTCGAACAGCACTTTATATGGATACAAACGGCCATATTATACAACATTGTCTAGATACAAACACCATTCCCGATGATCATATGAAATCACATGGATTGACAATCGTTAATGTTCATAATGATGATCGACATCATATGAATGAAGTTATTGAGGAAATATTAAACCAAGCTGATTTATTTGACTTATCAAAAGGACACGTGCTTCGTTGTCATATTCTACGTCATTATCATCAATCTCAAGATAGTATCTCATATGAGAATGATGATCTATTAGGCGAAAATGATCACATCTTGATTAGTATTCATCATGCAATGTTTGATGGAGCATCAATTCCAATTTTCCTCCGCGATCTTTCTCTTGCTTATCAATCTGATGATTCATTATTTGTCGATGATAATCTACTGAACTGTATAGATTATTCTGTTCATGAACATATCATGGATATGTCATTATCTCGTGAGTTCTGGCATTCTCAACTTGAAGGATATAATATCGAATGTTCATTATCATTACCGTTTGATCGACAACGTTCATCAGCTAATCAACAACGATCAGGTGTAGCATCCATAGCTGAAATCACTTTCGATAATGAAGTATGCACATCATTTCTAAATTATGCATCATCACATCATGTCACACTATTTCAACTTGGATTATCTATATTTTATGTCTTTCTATTCAAACTAACTCATGGTGAGACTGATCTATGTATTGGTTCCATTAATGCTAATCGATATCGAAGTGAATTAGTGAATATGATAGGAATGTTTGTATCAACATTGCCATATCGTTTAGAAATTGATTCTCATTGGTCATTTGATGAACTTGTTAGATATGTACGAGAAAAATGTTTATCAATTCTTGAACATTCTCAGTATCCATTACAACATATTCTTGGTGATAATCAACTAAATCAATCGAATGGATCATTTCTTGAGACAATGTTTGATTTTATTACTGTATCGAAAGATATGAGACATTTAAGTTTGAGTGATGCAAATTTAGAACAAATGGCATTAGAACAATCAGCTCAAGTGTCGAAATTTGACTTTTCATTAACATTTGAATACAATCCATTATCAGACAACAAGAGATTATCATGTTGTTTTGTTTGTTCACATGATTTGTTTGAAAAATCAACTATTTCAAAAGTAGCTCAAAGATTTCAATACATGTTTGAGCAACTGTTTCGAATACAACCAAGCAACAGTCCGGTGGTGAATGTGAGTTCATCGATTAACAACGTCTCTTTTATTCTTCCTGAAGAAGCTGAAGAAATGGAATTAGTGGTGTTTCATCGATTGGAGAATATTGTCAATGAAGGTATGATTGTATACAGCTTATTCTATTCTTTTATAAAAGTAGTGGTCATTTAAATCAGTAATGAGAAATATGCATTAAAGTGCGTTGCAATGTACTCACATAGTATTTTCAGTTGTTAAATGCATCTTAACGGAATAAATAATGAGAAAATAGGGATTCAAATGAGTTGTGATTGTGAATGACTCGGGTTGTCTTTCTCAGGTACTCTCGTTTTGTAAATTTTAAAGAGAGATCGCTGAAAGTGACTTGGAGTCAAACTTATTGAGAAAGTTTTCGCTAGAGAAACCTAAGTTAAATTGTAAAGATCTCTGAGTAATATCTGCTTCGAATATGTGAATAGTCCTACACTTTTGTATCGATCAACAAAAAATAACACTTGCCGTTGCTCGAAAGTTGTATACTCCGTTATAAGAAACAGAACAATTATGATAGTAGAATCTTTCATAAGCCTGCTCATGTATAAACTGGCACTCTCTCAGAACTAAGATACGCTCGTAGATTTCATATCAGAAAACAAATTACACTCAAGTTACTCAGACTGTTGAACAGTGCCGATAAAATCCAGAGTTTGTCATTGGCGAGATTAGTCCTCTTCGACTTCTAAGTAAAGAAAGCATTAAATATGTAACAAATCACTAGTTTCTACTAACAAAGTTTTGAAGTTTTTGGGTATCGAAATTGAAGTGGGAAAATATAAGTGCATGCAGTCGGATTTAGAATCACAGGGAAGAAGCTTTTCGAAATCATAGTCGGATTGTATAGTCATACAACACCTACATCACATAATTCTCTATCATTAAACATTTTTGTTTGCTTTTGTTTTCTTCCGACGTTATATACAAAGCTAGGACAAACATATTTTTGTTTTTTTCACTGGTTAGGTGTCCGTGTGTAGATTGTAAAAATTATCAGGCATTGGCAGTATATAATTCTTAGAAATTATTTAGGTATCTATCAAACCATTTTAGGATACCGCATTTACGTACTATAGTTGAAGCTTTTATTATGCATATCCCTATTGATTATAGACCTTACTTCATATGAATATTTTATTCAGATTATTCTTTAATACAGCTGCAGATATTTTATTTTCAGATTAGTAACTAAAGCTTTTAGTGATCTAGTAATATATGTCAAAAGAATACAATTACATAAGCTTATTTTGAAAATAAGTTTTTATATAGTAATTACAGCGATCTCATCACGTAACCTTATATATGTATTTCAAGTGTATTGTGATAGTGTTTGGTGACTTAAGGAATATATATGATGAAAAGAAGAAAAAGAGAAGACAAAATCAATAGACAGATAAAGATGTCATATTAGCATAGACAAATTTATCAAATATTTGAGAGCATTTGAATGAGCTAGAGAAATAACTTTGATCTATTCAGTGAATAAGAAAGATTTATATGGTACTAACAATACTATTAACCGAGATTGTCAGCTAAGTATTCGTACTAGAAAAATACTAATACTATCTGTTAGAATTTTACAAAATTACATAGTTCTCTTATATTAATAGTAGAAAAAAAACATCAGTTCGGCATTCCCAATGAATTTGTATTAGGATAATGAGAATGCTGACGACTTTCTGAAAAAATAATACTACTTTATTTCTAAAAGATGAATTCTTAACAGTGAACAATTTTACTTTTTTTTCAGAGAGTTGTCATTACTAGCATTATATTAATGCCAGTTTAATAAGAGTGCCAAACTATCGTAGTTTTTATATAAACACTAACATAAAATTATTACATAGCACTATTAGTGCGCATACAAAGTCTAAGGTTAAAATTGTCCCACTGAAATCTATCGAAGCTGACAGTAGCCGCCGACTTTTGAAGTAGGATTCGATACCAAACGATGTTAGACTTTTCATTCTAGAGTATTAGAGTAATTTGTATGACTGTTAACAGAAAATGGTGAGCCAACACTTTTAATACGGATTCTGTTTAGTTACAGAGGGGACTAGATGAAAAGTGATGAGAACATAATTATCAAACATCATTTGGCCATGTAGCTTCTACATTATAATTCACTAATATCTCATTATTCTAGCACCAGCATCATTTGCACAAGCTCGTATTTGGCTTGACGAAAGAATTCGATTCGATACAGACAAGCCTCAAACAGCAATCTATAATATGCCTTTTGTTTATCATCTTCAATCAGATCATACTTTATCCATTACACAACTTCGTCGTGCTCTTCATCTCACTGTTAACAAACATCCCTCACTTCATACATCACTTCATTTCGACATCCAAAAGAATCTACTTATACAACGAGTTCTTACTCATGAAGATAAAAATAATAAGAATAATATGTTTTCAATCATCGAAACTATTTATGAAACAGATGAACAACTCAATGAAATTTTACATGATGAGAAACGTAATCCTCATCTTTTTGATCTTGCTCAAGGTCTTGTCTTTCGATGTCATATTATTTATTATAAACAAATCTCTTCAAATCATCTTCTTTCCCACAAGGATCTACTTATCTTCAACTTTCATCATGCTCTATTTGACTTTCCATCAATGAATATCTTTCTTCATGATCTCAATCAAGCATATACAAC